CCTGGGTGCGTATCTGAAGTGGAAATCAGTCGTGGGGATTATGTTTGTTGCGTTGTTGTTGAACTGCCATTTCTGAAAGCTGATCCCCCCTCACCGGTGCATACGGGTTTTTCTCTATCAAAGTGTGCCCCTCGACGCTCGCACCCTGTTTTTTGACGGGGAAAGTCTTGGTGCTCAAACTGGGCCCCTGGCCCCCCGGATTACAACAACAGCGACTTCCGCCTGACACTTCCTCCAAATTTACTCAGGACCCCCGCTCCTGAGACTTCCTCACAATTCACTCAGGATCGGTGCTCCCGCCTGTGAGTTCCTCGCAATTTAGTCGGGACCCCCGCTCCCATCTGAGACGCCCTCACACCTTACTCAGGAACGACGCTTCCGCTTGAAACTTCCGCGCAAATCAATCAAGACGACCTCGCAATGTAATCAAGACCCCCGCTCCCGCCAGAGAACCCTTCACAGTTTATTCAGGATGTACGCTCTCGCCTGTGACTTCCATGCAATGTATTCAGAAATCGCGCTTTCGACGCTCAAGAAACACGCTGCGCCAAGGACGCCGTTACAATTTACTTAGTAATCGCGCTCTCGCCATACTCAAGCATCCCGCTTGGAAGTCCCACCCGCCCGACCCGCCCGTCATGGGATCGCCCGCCCGTCGTGGGCTCCCGCCCGAGACTTCCTCCAGAAACGGCGTTTTCGCCTAGGACTTCCTCGAACGTTCTCGCTCTTACCTTCCTGCTCCTCCTCCCTCTCCCTTCTACCTCCTCCCTCCTCTCCTCCCTTCCCTCTCCCTCCTCTCTTCCCTCATCCTTATGCCTCTCTGCCCTATCTCCTCTCCCTCCTCTCCCTCCTCTCCCTCCTCCCTTCTCCCTCCCCTCTCCTGCCTCCTCCCTCCCTCTTTCTTATCTCTCTCTGTCTCGCTCTCCCTCCCTCTTTATTTTCCTCTCTCTCTCTCTCTCCCTTATCTCTCTCTCTCTCTGTCTCTCTCTCTCTCTCTCCCTCTCTCTCATTTGTCGTTTTTGTTGTTTCTCTCTCTCTCTCTCTCCCTCTGCCTCTAATCAACCGCCCCCTTCTTCGCTCCTTCTCTCCTGGCGTTTTCCCTCTTCCTGCGTCCATCCCCTCCCTTCCTCCCACTCTCCCTCGTTCTCCCCCTCCTCTTTCTGCAGGGCCCACACCACTTCCACTGGCGGGCACATGTACGCCCAAGAAGGATTGTCCGCCCGTGCAGGTTTGCCCGCCTGTCTAAGCCCGCCCACCCCACAAAGAGAAACAATCCCCCAAACGGGGGTGTGATCGAAGACAACAAGGGAAGGTATCGAGGGTGTGAGGAACTCGTTTTGAATGACATGCGGGCAAGTAAGCGCGAACAGTCTTAGAATGAGTGTTGTTGTTGGTGGTGCTGTTGTTTGTGGTCGTCGTCCTCCCCGCGGCCCACCCGCGACCTACCCCGCAACCCACCCCGCGACCCACCCCGAGACCCACCCGCGACCCACCCCGCGACCCACCCGCGATCCACCCCGCGACCCGACCCGCAACCCAACCCGCGACCCACCCGCGACCCACCCCGCGACCCGTCCGCGACCAACCCGCGACCCACCCACGACCCACCCGCGACCCATCCGCGACCCACTTGCGACCCACCTGCGACCCACCCGTGACCGACCCTCGACCGATCCACATTGGTTTGAAGAAAAAGTCGGCGCCTGCGGCGGGCTCATTGCATAATTTGTTGAACTTTGACGCCTGCGGCGGGCTCTTCCAGGCAGACTGCCGACGTCCCCACCGTTCCCTCACTCTTATCCGCATCTATAAGAGGGAGAACGCACCTAGAAAAAACGAGAGAGAGAGAGAGAGAGAGAAAGAGCGAGAGAGAGAGAGAGAGATAGGGAGGGAGGGGGGGAAAGGGAGGGGGAGAGGGAGAGAGCGAGAGAGAGAGGGAGGGGGGAAAAGGGGCAGAGAAAGAGGAGGAGGGGTGTGGAGCGGACGAAGGCAGCGAGCGAGAAGGGACGGAGACAGATAACGAGAAGGAGGAGCGGATAGCGGAAGGAGGCGGCAGCGCCCCCTCAAAGAGGCCTGGAAGCAAGGAGCCGGCGGCTTTTGGCTCGCCCACTCGCCGTGCACCTCGAGTAGGTCCCGAGGCCTCCCGCCGGGGCCAGCCTCTCGCCCACGATCCGCGCCTGAAGCCCGCGAGGCACGAAGACAGCCCCCAGGGGCCGAGGTCGAGGGAGCAAACGCATGCGCCGAAGCGAGAGGAGGAGGAGGGGAAGGAGGAGGGGGAGGAGGAGGAGGAGGAGCAGGAACAGGAGGAGGAGGAGGAGCAGGAGCAGGAACAGGAGGAGGAGGAGGAGGAGGAGGAGGAGGAGGAGGAGGAGGAGGAGGAGGAGGAGGAGGAGGAGAGGAGAGGAGGAGGAGGAGGAGGAGGAGGGGAGGAGGCGGAGGAGGAGGAGGAGGAGCAGGAGGAAAGGAGGAGGAAGGAGGAGGGGGAGGAGGAGGGAGGGAAGGAACGAAGGAAGGAAGGAAGGAAGGAAGGAAGGAAGGAAGGAAGGAAGGGGAGAGG